ATTTTTTTTTTTTTTTTTTTTTTTTTTTTTTTTTTTGGTAGCACCACGGCTTGAACCCAAAGTCCCCTGTATGGTAGACAAGCACTCTACCATCGAGCTACATCCCCAGCCCTGTTTTATTTTTATTTTTGAGACAAGGTTGGCTTCAAACTTGAGACCCTTGCCTTAGCCTGGAATTACAGGCACGCAGCACCCTGCCTGGCCAGCAAGTGCCTGGTCTTGGGGAAACTTTCAGCGGCCCCTCCCGGGCCCTGCACCTCCCGGTCCATACCCGCTTCCTAGGCCGGGGCCCCTCGTGCTCCGTGGCTGTTCAGTCAGGTTGCGATCTGTATTGCCACGGAGCCAAGGCCCTCTGATCTGTACGAGCGGCGGACATCATTAAACAAGGAAGGCATCTCGCGCTTAGCTCCGTCCTAGTCAGAACCCTTCTCAGTATTGTTGCACAGGCAGCCACTACCCATCGGTCGTACTGACACACGGCACAGATAGCACACTCCATTAGGCCCGTCCATGTCCTTCACTTTGCGTGTGTGGAAACTGCAGCCTAGAGACGCCATCCACCGAGTGAGTGACGAAGCCAGGCAAAGACGCTGCACTCTTGGTCCACGCGTCGTCAGACCCCTGAACACAGCTCAAGATGGGCGTTCTGATTGAACTGGGCATAGGGATCTGAAAGTTCTCTAACATGTATGTAAGGCTGAAAACTACTGAGGTTCTCTCCCTCTGGCAGCAACATCTTTAATTTTATCTGCTGATAAGAATTACCTGGGACCACTGAGAAAGAAGTCAGGAAGACAATCCACTTACAGTAGCTTCCAAAAACATGAAATACCTAGGAATCAACCTAACCACGGAGGTAAAAGAGGACTATGATGAAAATTGCAGAACTCTGAAGAAAGAAAATAAAGAGGACATTAGAAAGCAGAGGGCCGGGGATTTAGCTCAGTGGTTCTGCTGCCTGCCTTGTAAGCACAAGGACCCGAGTTTGATCCCCGGTACCAAAAAACCCAGAAAATAGAAAGACATCCCTTGTTATTGAATTCAAAAGAAGTAATATCATGAAAACAGAAACATTACCAAGGGCGAGCTATAGATTTAATGCTGATACAGACAGCTAAATTAGGTAGAAATATTGTGGGCATTCAGACAGGGCTGAGCCCGCAAACTCAAGGCAGAGGATGAGAACAGTTGGAGGTGCATCTGAAGATTAAAGTCACAACGGTCAGATCAGATCGGCATACTTCCCTAAAGGATGAACAGAAGCTTGAGATTATTGGTACCACCCTTTTGAGATCTCTTAATAGTCAGACCATTATCTCACTGCAGGTGGGTCATCTTCTCCCACCCACTAAGACTAAGACCACTAAGACTAAGAAGATTTAAGACTCAGACTACAGCTGGGGATTTAGCTCAGTGGTTCTGGCACCTG